CTGGTTCTAACCCCGCGTGGACCGACAGGGACCCGTCAGGGCACAGGACGACGCTCTCGATTCGACTCATCTCCCTCGCAGGGGCGAGCTTCAAAGCAGAACGGGCATTGCGATGCAGCTTGATCCCCTCCAAATCTAACTGCAACTGAAGGTGACTCAACCATGGGGCGGCTCTCTGGAGAAGGGTCTTTCGGACTCCAAGGGGGCAAGTGTGCACATCACTGCTGGGCATCCCTTCCCCGCGCACGTGGGGCCCCGTTCCCCCTCCGACAGCTGCGCTCAGGCCCCCGTGATCGGCTGGCTTGGCACTGGCACTCTGGCTGCGCAGGCTGTCACCCCGCGCATCTTGCACAACTGTGAACGACGCTAGAACATGATCAGTGTGGCAGCCTTCCTCCGGCTTGCTCGAATTATCACAAGTACGCGAGGGCAATCCCTCGCCAAAAACAGGCGTCTGAGAGGTTTCGTGGCCAACTTGCCCAACCACGTGTGTTCCTCTCTGGACGTAAAATCTCGACTCCGCCGCTCGCTGCGGCGCAGCTTCCTGCACTGAATGTGTGGGGAGCAGCCTCTCCAAGCGCACGACACGCTTGGCAGGATCGTAGAGCTGCCGCTCCTCCAAATTGTCTGCAAAATGCACTCGCTTTGTTTGTTTCACACTATTGCTCGCAACGGGCACGCAAGCACGCAGAGCACTGACAGCACTCTCCCCTACCGAACTCCCAGTCGACAAAGAAGCCAGCCTGCACGGAGGCGCCACCCGCGATGAAACACGAGGAGGTACTTCATGCGCGCTCTCTGCCCAACCCGAAAGGGAAGGGTGAGTATAGCGTCGGAGACGACCGTTCATCAGCTCCATGCGCGCTTTCTGCCCGACCCAGGGGGAAGGGTGAGTATAGCGCCGTCGTGTTGGAAACCGATGCTGAAGATGCTCTCAAGGAAGTAGCGCTAGCCACCCTCTGTGGTGTGCACCTCACGCGCATTTGCAGCAAGGACTGGGCGTCATGATGCCCTTCCTCGCCTCGGGACCTCGCAGGTGCTGCAGCTGGCCCGCTGCTGCCAGAGGAGGCGCTGGCGCCTCCCGTGCATGTCCCCGTCGTAACCGCTCCTGCGAGGATCGCCTCCTCCATGCCAGGGAGCGTCGGGTCGTAGACAGGCACCACCGGGGGCCTATTCTGGCTGATGTGCTCTGTGATCTGCCTCGCGAAAGCGACAATCACCTCCTCGTTGACGTTGTGCGCGTCTGGGGGGTGGCACTGGTCCCCCATGGCCATCAGGCGCTCCCTCGCGACAAACACCTCCTCGCACATGCGATTGAGGGATTTACCCCACTCTTGAGGCGACTCATCATGCCACACCCTAGTTTGACGGATAGCGAAACTCCGCCTCTCTACAGCCCTTCCACGCCAGATCTTATTCAGCATACGCGTAGCAAATTGCCGCATCCTCTCGGTGACCTCGGGTGACCTCCGAGCTGATGGGTTCCACATGGGGTCGTAGACTGGTGAGCGAAAATCTCCTGCACAACAGCTGGGACTGCCCAATACAAGAAGTTGACATGTGCGGCCTCCTCGCCAATTATGTGCGCCTCAATAGCCCAGGCAGATGATAACTCCACAAACCGTTGATAGAGCAACGTGAAAGAGGAGTCGGATATCAATAGCCCTCCAAATTCTCCAGAAGGTCCAAAGTGTGGGTGGCAGCCAGGGCTCTCATGGGGCCCACTCTCCTCATGACCGTCACCGTCACTCCCTGAAGCACGGGCCTGCTGTTGCACCAAGCTGACCTCGTCCTCCAAATTGTCTGCAAAGAAAGATTGACCCGGCCGCGATGTGAGAACTTCGCTGACCAAATTAGGCTGCTGTGTGACGTGGTAAACTGACCCAACCACATCCATATCTTCGCTCGCCGATCGGTACCCTCTGCCGCCGATGCCACCTGCCAGCTGTGCGGGTCGACCCCCGTTGTGCTGGCCGTGGCTAGGCGGTGAGCAGTGCGTGTCGGCGAGCGCCGCGCCCCACAGATGCGACGAAAAGCGACCTACTCCTCGATAACATCCGCCTGCCGCTGCAACTTCTGGGGTGGCGACCTGCCTTCCACGCGCTGGTCCACCGTCGTCTTGTAGTCCGCCGCGGCCAGGCCGCTGGACGATGCAGAGGTCGAGCACTCCTGTCCTGCCACAGCACGGTCGATCGCATCCACCTGCTGCTTGATCTCTTGCGATGTCATCTGCGACGGTTCGACCATCTCTGCCACTGGGGTCGGTGACGCCTCCACCAACACCGGGGACATCGCAACTGCTGGCTGTGGCGGCGCTGGCCACGGTGACGGCTGCAAGCACTGAGGTGTCCCTGGTGATCCCGTAATCGTAGGCGTCGGTGCTGGCGTCGCCGTCACGGAGAAGACGGGCCCTGCCAACTCCTCCGCCTGCTCGGGCTGCGCGAAGGGCTGTGTCGGCGACATCTGGGACGGCTGCTGCGGATACGGGATGGGGGCGTCCTCTTCCTCGATCGTCTCCCAGCCCTTGTCCGCTCCTGGCCTGTCCTTGACCATCACCACCTTGCCGCCCTTGCCTTTGTGCGGGTGAGCGCTGCCCTTCTGCCTGTTTTCCCTCGGGTCCTCTTTCTTCTTGGTGATCCGCCTCAAGACCTCTCTCTTCGGCGATCCCGCAGGTTCGGCCGCTGGCTCGGCTTCCTTCGCCCTCGGCGACTCGCACGGCTGCTGCAGGCCTCCATGCTGGTGCGAGGCTGGCGAAGGCTGTCCTGGTGGAATCGTAGATGGCGTGACTGGTGGCTTCCTGGCCGCAGGGGTCGTGGGCGCCGCCTGCAGAGCCGCTGGGCCCTGAGGTGCGTGCCCTCCCCCTCCGTTCTGTCCTCCCAAGCTTGCTGCAGCGAAAGCTTGGGCCAGCTCCGCTGCCGCCGTCGCTGCTGGCGACGGTGTTGCAGCCGCCACCGCTGGGTTCTGCATCTGGGCGAAGGTCCTGTCGTACGCATCCGTCGGGCACGCTAAGGTTGGCACCCTGATCGTCGGAGGCTCGTCCTGAGACGGGCCGCCCGCTGGGACCTTCGGCGTGTACAGGACGTCGTACTGCGGGGTCGGGCAATCCCAAGGCGCTATCGCAGGCGTCTCGGGCTCCATCTGAGGCTGCGCGGGCGTGAAGGGCGCCGAAGGAAACGTCGGCGACCTCTGCACCGACTGGCTGGGGTACATCGGGTGGGACCTGGCCATCCTCAGCTGGTGCTGGTACTCCGCAGCGTCCGAGTCGGCTGGGGTCGTGCTTGGATCCCAAAATATCCCCGCATCCGCTGGACTCGGGGCCTGTCGAAACCCCATACCCGCCGCATGCCTCTCTGCCCGCATCTGCTCGTATATGTTCGGGTATCCAGGGGGGGTAGACGCAGCCGTAGACGTAGGCGATATGCCTGGCACCTGCCCTGCCTGCATCGGCGTTGTCGGCGATGGCTGACTCCCCATCCCTGGCTCCAGTTGTGGCACCCGCGGCCCCTGAGCTGTCCAGGGGGCAGCCTTCATCATCATGCGCACCTCGTCCATAAGGTGGCCGCGGAAGTTGCCAATCTGCCTCATCATGGCCTCCTGCTGGTTCTGCTGCTGCATCTGCGCCGCTGTCAGACGCTGGAGGCACTCCTTGATCGAGTCCATCTCTCTGGAGCTCTCTGGCACAGCCGGCGCGGCGTGGCCCGCCGCAGCTGCCTTTGGCGCCGCTGAAGATGCTGATGCCTCTCTCCCAAGGCCTGCATGAGGGTTCCCAGGCGCCCTGCCAACGCCCTCCTCTGCATTGTGCATCTCCGTGTCGGCGCTCTCGGCCGTGCCACCCTCGTCCTTCGACTTCGTCAGTTGGTCGATCATCTCCTGGATGTTTCGGATGGTTTCCTCGATCTGGATGCGCCTCTCGCGCACCTCCGCCTCCTTCTGCTGTATCTCGCGCAAATGACCCTGCTCTTTTTCCAATTGCATTTTGACCTCGGACAGCTGGTTCTCTGATCCTGAACTCTCCGTTAACATGTATTTGAGTACAGCTATCTCCTTGCAGTCCGCGTCGTTCGCAGGGCGATCCGCTGCAGCAGCAGCCTTGATGAGGATGCCGATCTTGCGAATCTTCTCTTTGATATCTTTGCGATGTTTGTTCACTGCTTCTTTCTGCTCTGCCGGGGGCGCCTTCACGTAGACATGCTTGAAGGCCTCCGACCTCGCCACCTCTGGGGTAGCGGGCGCAATCTTCGCCACGAGCTGATTCACAGTATCCTTGTCACATTTGTTCCAGGGGTCTCTGCTCTTGGACCTCTCCGTTGACTGCATGGGCTGCGACTTGGAGCGCGAGTACCAGTTGTACCCGCATCCGCATACTGCCTGAGAAACTGGAAGATGTGTGTGACATGAGGGACATTGCCACATCCGATCTCTTGGGGTTGCGTGATGGCTTCGCAACGCTAGACCTGCCTTGTACACCCTCAGTAATGCTCTGTTCCGTGCTCGCTCGGCGCGCAACCGAGGCAAAAAGGTGTGCAGGTACCTCCTCAGCCGAAACCCTCTCCTCCTCCTCCTCCTCCTCCTCCTCCTCCTCCTCCTCCTCCTCCTCCTCCTCCTCCTCCTCCTCCTCCTCCTCCTCCCCCATCCTCCTCCTCCTCATCGTTCGCGCTGACCCTCCGCGCGTGCGCCGAGACATCGGCTGGGCGGAGGCCGTCGGTGGCCGTCGTGAGCCCTCGGGAGGCCCGGGGAGTCCGGGGAGCCCGGGGAGTCCGGGGAGTCCTGGGACCCGCGGGGAGTCCGGAACGTCCGGGGAGTCCGGGGAGCCCGGGGGGTCCGGGGAGTCCGGGCCCGGGAGTCCGGGGAGTCCGGGGAGCCCGGGGAGTCCGGGGAGTCCGGGGAGTCCTGGGAGTCTGGGGAGTCTGGGGAGTCCGGGGAGTACGGGGAGTCCGGGGAGTCCGGGGAGTCCGGGGAGTCCGGGGAGTCCGGGACACAGATGCGCACCATACTGCCAGGAGCTGCTGCGGCTGCTGGTGTCGGCCTGGCACAAAGACGCCTTGCAGGCGCGCGCCGATAAGAGGAGCGCCGAGCAGCAGCAGGAGCTGGAACGGCTGAAGCAGTCCCAGCAATCCCAGCAGCTCAGGGGCGAGCAGGCCACCGAGCAGATGGCAGAAAGCTTCCACAGGAAACACTGCAGGGAGCTGCTGCGGCTGACGGTGTCGGCGTGGCATAAGGAGGTGCTCACGGCAATGGCGGAAGAAAATTTGAGGAAGGCCAGCCAAGCGCAGCGGGTCAAGCTAGACAAGTTGCAGGATACCATGCGGGAGCGTGGTCAGCAGTTGTCGCTGGCAATGGTGGAGTGGTTCAAGCAGAAGCACGATGCACATCTAGTGCGCGTCGTGATCGCCAACTGGCACAAGGACACGCTGTCGGAGGCAACGATCAAACGGCAGCGCGCTGCGGAGACGCAATATCGGAACGAGATGGAAAGAATCAGGAGTGAGGATCAGAGGAAGGGGACCATCGGATCGCAGCGCATGGCGGACAGATTTCACAAGAATCACATGGAGGCTGTCTTGCTGGAGGTGATAGCCGTCTGGCACAAAGCCGTGCTCGTGCTTGCGGCAGAGGATCGCGAGAATCGTGCCCAAAGGTTGGCGCAGCGGGAGATGGAGATGCTGAAGCGCTCCCAATTGCTAAAAGGTGAGCAGGTCGCAGCGAAGTTCCAGAGGAAGCATGATGAGGCAGTCCTCCAGGCTATCCTACTGGCGTGGCGCAATGAGGCGCTCACAGCCGCGGCTCAGAAGAGGCAGAGGAAGGCCAGCCAAGTTCACCGTGTCAGGCTGGAGGAGATTCAGCAGACCATGCGTGACCGCGGGCAGAAGGTGTCCCTGGCGATGGTGGATTGGTTCAGGCAGGGCCATCAGATCAACCTGCTGCGCACGGTGATCATTTACTGGCACAAAGACTCGCTGTCGGAGGCTGCGGTCAAGCGGCAGCGCAGGGCGGAGAAGCAGCACCGAGACGAGATGGAGCGACTGAGGCACGAGGGGCGCAGCAAGGGGGCCGTCGGGTCACAGCGCATGGCAGACAGATTCCACAAGAGCCACATGGAGGCCGTCCTGTTGGAAGTGTTGACCGTCTGGCACAAAGTCGTGCTAGCCGCTGCGGCAGAGGAACGGGAGAAGCGGGCACGGCTGCTGGCACAGGAGGAGATGTTGCAGATGAGAGCGCTGCAGCGCCAGCGGGATGCTAGGACCGTGGAGCTCGTGTCGACGCAGCTGAGCAGGAGGCACTGCGCGGCTTTGCTGGTGGATAGCATGGCCGCTTGGCGCAACGTTGTCGTCGCCAGAGTGGCCCAACATGAGCAGAGGAAGTTGCGCGCCCAGCACGAGAGCGAACTGGTTGGAATTAACCGGAAGAAGCAGATTGAGAGGGATAAATTAATCAACATGTTGTCCAGGATGTTCACAATGCACCAGAATGTCGCGGTGATGTTGAATTTGTTCAGCGACTGGCGTGCCACTGCGGCCGCAGCTGTCCACGAGCATCGCGAGCGCGAGAGGAAGAGGCAGCACGCCATCGAGATCGAACAGCAGCACAGGCAGCGACGGCTCGCCGCAGAGAGCGCGGCGCATACGACGTCCAGCAAGCTGTTCCAGAGGCACCACTTGGCGCTGCTCTGGGATGTTGTGGCAGACTGGCGCGCGCTTGTCCTCTCCGAGGCGCGCCTGCGCGCAGACCAGGAGAGGCAGACGCGCCACGAGGAGGAGCTCAGGCGACAACGGCACAGGGAGTGGCTTGCCCGTGGGAACACCGCGTCCTGGACCGCCGACAAGTTGTTCCAGAGGCACCTGTTGGCGCTGCTCTGGGATGTCGTGGCGAATTGGCGTGTGTTCGTCCTCTCTGAGGTGCGCTTGCGCGTGGAGCAAGAAAGACAGGCGCGCCACGAGGAGGAGCTAAGGCGCCAGAAGCACAGGGAGTGGACTGCGAGAGGGAAGGCCATGTCCTGGACCGCCGACAAGCTGTTCCAGAGGCACCGGTTGACGCTGCTCTGGGATATCGTGGCGGACTGGCGTGCCTTCGTCCTGTCCGAGGTGCGTCTGCGTGGAGACCAAGAGAGGCAGTCTCGCATCGAGGAGCAGCTCAGGCGGCAGAAGTATAACGAGTGGATCTCCAGGGGGAAAGCCGTGTCCTGGGCCGCGGCCAAGCTGCACGAGAGTCACCAGTTCTCCCTCCTCTTCGAGGCGCTGGCCGGTTGGCGCAGCGGCGTGCTGGTCGCACGCCATGAGCGAGAGCGGCGTGCGCACGCTCGCCAGCAGGTGCAGAAGATGGACAAGCAGAAGCACCGGGCGCTGGAGAGCAGGAAGCAGGCGCTCGAGCGGGCCACGCTGGCGATCTGGAGGAGGAGCTCCCGGGCCGTGGTGCAGGACTGCATCGTGGAGTGGGCCAAGATGGCGGTCCGCGAACGCGCCGAGCGGCAGGTGCAGAGCACGCGGCAGCAGGTGGCAGACCAGCAGGAGGGGTCCCACTGCTCTTTTCCGCGTCAGCGTGTTCGTGCCGTCAGTGCGGGGGACGGGGCGCCCCTGGGGGCCCCCAGGTCCCTCGAGTTGAAGCGCGCGTGCTCCCAAAGTTCTGCGCGGAGTTCCTTTTGTTTTTCCTCTGGCCACCGCCTCCATCCCTCATCCCTCCCCGCTACCTCTCTCCCTGCCTCTCTTCTCATCCCTGGTACCCTTCCTCTCTCCCTCCGTCCTCCATCCCTTCCTCCTCCCTTCCTCCTCCCTCCCATCGTCATCCCTTCATCCCTCCTCATTCATGCCCCCTCCCTCCCCCCTAAAGACAAACGCCGAGGGGAAAGTTCGAAGTGGCAGTAAGACAAACATTACCCAAAGGGACCCCGAGGGATACACGCTGAGGGAGAAAAGACGCTCCGCTCACGAGGAGGAGTTCATGCGCAGAGAGCGACTGCAGAAAGCCCTTGCGACCAAACACGCCATTGCGAAGCTGCTGGCAGAGAGCAAGACAACTGTGCTCAAGGAGTGTTTGGTCGAGTGGAGCAAGGCGGCAGTCGTCGAGCGGACCGAGCGCACGGCGCGCGAGGCGCGGCAGCAGCTCGAGGACCAGCTCGCCGAGCGTCGCCTGGCGGAGGTCCGCGACAAGGATCGCATACTGTTCATGCTGTCGGATGTGCACAGCACGCTGTCGCTGCAGCAAGTCATGGGGGAGTGGAATCGCTGCGCCGCAATCGAGCGCATCGAGAGGCAGCTGAGGGTGACACGAGAGCAGCACAAGACGGACAAACACAAGGCGGCCATGTGGATTGCATGCAATCATGGTGCTCGTGCCGTTCTGCAGACCACCTGGGCCGAATGGGTTGCGAACGTTCGGGCCGAGATTGTTGCTAAGGAACATCAGGATGCACTGTCTCAGCACAAGCTGACTCTATCGGAGCACCGCGAGGCGGCACTCAAGCACAGCATGGAACGTGGGGAGCGTGTCGCCTTGATGCTGGCAGAGAGGTGGAGGAGCGGCTTGCTTCAGGTGTGCGTGGCCAGTTGGCACAAGGAAGTCTTGGCGGCGCAAGCTGAGCAGCGCGGGCGCGACTTGGACCGGCAGCATGCAAGGGAGCTCGAGCACCGAGCTGCGCAGGGGCGTGACAAGCAGAGGCTCATGGGCGAGCGGGCAGTCGTGTCGCTGATGGGGGCACACGCCCAGGCGTTGTTGCAGTATTGTGTGCTGGAGTGGCGCAGGAGCTCGCAGGTCGCGAGGAACGCGAGCTCGCGCGCCGCGGCAGAGAACGCTTTGCGACAGGACGCGGCCGCGAAGCAGAGCAGCCTGGCACAGCGTGTGCGCGTGGCGGTTGCCCTTGTGGCGGAGTCCAGGAGTGGCAACGTGCTCCTCCAGGCGCAGATGGCATGCTTTCTCGCCTGGCGTGCCTTGGCCCGCCTCGAGGCCGCGGAGGCGAGCCAACTGCAGGCGCTGGAGGAGGTCCGCATGCGCTTCGAGGAGGACGCACAGCAACTGGTGCGGGCGCATGCGTTGCGCACGGACTTCTTGTCCAGGTGCGCGTTCATGGCCAAGTCCAAGGGCGAGCGGGCGTTGTTGTTGCAGCTGTGCGTCTCCGCTTGGGGAGAGGAGGCCAAGGTAGGACGGCTCCGCTCGGCCATGCACCAGGCCAGGGCGGGCCATGAGGACGACCTCGCCCAGCTCGTCCACAGGCACGCAGATCAGCGCCATCACGCACGGCTCCAAGAGCAGGGTCGCTACCTCGACCTCCGCGAGAAATTGATGAAGTTGAGAGTCTTTGCCGCCTGGTCTCAGATCCGGGGGGTTGAGAAGAAGAAGGTCGCTGACACGGCAAGAGTGATGCGCTCCGAACACGAGCTTGCCACCATGAAGGAGAGAACTACTAGGAAGGTGGAGCGGATGACGGTCAGCATGGGGGAGTTGGTCAGCAGGTTGCACCGCAGGTTCCTGGGGCCAGGTGTTTTACACTGGCCCCCTGAAGGTTTCTACGTCAACCGCGCCCCCTCCTTCGAGGGAAGAAACACGGGGACCATGACCAAGATGTCGTGGGATCTTGTCAATGCCAGTCTCGGTAGTAATGGCCCATGTCGGCCATCGCCTATTCGCGAGGATCATCCACAAAATGGCGCTGACCAAGATCGACGGTGGCCAAGATCAACACTACGTTTCCACGTTCAGTCTCGGTCATGGTTCCCGTTTTCTTCCCCTCCACCCCCCCTCGCCGTCTCGCATCCTTTTCGCTCCCACCCCACCCCCCGCTCCCAACGCCCTTCCACCCACCCCCGACACCTCTAGGGACCCTCGGCCAACGAAGACGACCCTAGAGAAGGGTCCAACGTACCTCCACACTTTTACAACTTCCCGTTACGGCGTCAATTGCCACCCGCGCGGCTTACCCCCGCCCCACCCTCGCACCCGGAGCATAAGGTGTCCACGGAGCATGGTACACTTTCGAAGGAGACTGGAAAGCATTCGAATCTGATCTCGTGCAGAGGAGCGACGTGTGAGGGCTGCGGCCCACGCGCCTTACCATGTGCGGGTCGGCCTCTTTGGCCGGACCCGGTGCGCCTCGCGCCTCGCGCTTTGCGCCCCCTCCCGCTCCAGTCTCGCCCTCCCGTGCTGCTCCTGCCTCGGGGACAGGCGGCTGCTGTCGCGGCCCCGCCCTCGCTCCTGCCGCCTGCGCCCGAGCTTGCCTTCTTTCGGGGATCGAATGCCGTTGCCCCCCCCCCACACACACACACAGACACGCACACACCCACACACAGACACGCAGACACACACACACACACACACACAAACACACACAGACAGAGACACACACACACACACACACACACTTGACAAGGTCATGAGACCTTCCTTGTCGAAAGGCTCTGTATAAACGTGTCAGTAGGTGTTTCGGTGTAGTGGCCGAAATTGTACGCGAAGTTGGCGGACCATGATGCGGTTGAAACGGACGGTGGAGTTGCCGATGGCCTACGTTTGGCTTTGGCGGGGAAGCGCAACACGCCTCACCTGCAGCGTGAGGTGTGCGCCCCCGACTCGACCTGCCACAAGTGTTGCTACACTCTGCCGTGCGCAGATCCGCCGAGGCGACAAGAAAACGACTCTTGCCGACACCTACTGGCCCCTGGGGACGTGGCGGTGAGATGCCGTGCGTTGCACGCGCCCTCTCCACTGCACGCGCGGGCCGGTCGAATGAGACTCCTTGGACACAGGAGGTGCTTGTGGCATGGGACTCGGAGGCCCCAGAACGAACTAAACAAACGTGCGCGCGGGAGTCAGAGCCACTAGACGAACTCGCGGCCCCCCGCCTAAGCAATGCAGCAACTGGCATCACGCGAAAACCTTGTCCGATCTTGTTGTCGAAGGCCCTGACCGGCTTTTTTTAGGCACGTTGACATGGTAGCCGTCTCTGCCGTCAACGCCCGAATTGAAGCCAATGTCCATCTGTAGCAAAGGAACGGCGGAATGCGAACGCATTCGTGACGCCACAGATGCCTGACAAAGATATTCACCACTAGCAGGCTTCGGAAGGAGGGGGAGAGGAGGGAAGAGAGAGAGAGAGAGAGAGAGCGAGATGTAGCAATAGATTCCCGCCCCGCCCTTTTCGGCACATCACTCACGCGTGTCCTGTCTATTAGGGGGCTGCACCTAAGGCCTCAGCGTGTGCGTTCGCAGCGCGTCGCCTCGCGATTGTCAGCACACCTTTCGCGCGTTTCGTGGCCCTCACGCACACCTGTCGTCATTTGCCGCATGTTGTTTTAGACTTGCTGTCTATGTGTTGAAGGGCGTTACCCTCGCAGCGTTTAAACATGGGCGCCCCTTTCCGTGCCAGGTACCTGCCCTGCTCCGCGTCGCATCCATCGTCGTTCTCCCCATTGCGAGGCGATGTGTGAGAGTACATGCGTGAATGGGGGGCATTGTTCGAAGTCTGGCCGTCGTTGGCGAGGTTTTTGGGGACATTGCAGACCCTTCAACGTGTTCGTGTAGATTGACCAGTCATATGTAGACTCACCCTGTGTCAGGTAGAGTTGGGTTCGTCGCCAGGCGAATGTTCCTTTTAGGGCTCGGCTCAACAGTGCAGGCGAGCCGCTTCAAAACTAGCCTGCCGAAGGATCCAACCAGATGCAGCTGCGAGCACCGCAATCACAGGTGGAAGCTAAGGGAATGGGCTAACAAGAGGACTAATGCGTGCGTGGGAAGGACGGGGCGATGCTGCTGATGGGGCCGCAGAGGTTGCCCGTAACGGGTTGCATCCATCTGTAGCCCGTTACGGCTGATCTGCGCGTCTGTCAACGCGGCCCCAGGGCGGCAGCATGCGGCGGTATGTTCGGTGGAGCTCCACATGGGAGCACGAAGCGCGTGAGGAGGGTGCCGAAATCGGCGTAGTCACGCATGCGAATTCTACCATGAGGGCCTTCGGTGGAGCTTCGTATCGGGCCACGAAACATGTAAGTCGTGCGCCGACATGGGCGCGGTAACGCATGCGACTCCTTGAATTGAGGCCTTCGGTGGGGCCCCTTCGTCATGAGGCCACGAAACGTGAGAGGGGGCCGGAGGCAACGAAAAGTGAAAGAGGTGCGCCGAAATAGTTAGGGAAGGCATGCGAACGCAGTCACTGGGGCCTCACGTGGAGCTCCCGCTCCCGACGGTGCCACGAAGCGTGTGAGGGGAGCGCCGAACCGGTGTGGAGAAAGCATCTGGGCGCAACGTTTGAGGCATCAGGTGGCGCTCTTGCTCCTCATGGTGCCACGAAGCGTGCGAAGGGTGCGCCAAAACCGTGTGGAGACAGCATGCGAACGCAGCCGCTGGGGCTTGCGGTAGAGCCCCCCATGGCGCCACGAAGCGTTTGAGGGGTGCGCCGAAACGGTGTGGAGACAGCATGCGAACGCAGTCACTGGGGCCTCAGGAAGAGCCCCCTATGGGGCCACGAAGCGTGTGAGGGGTGCGCCGAGATGGCGTGGACCAGGCATGCGGGCGCAGATGTTTGTGCCTTAGATGAAGCCCTCTCTGGGGCCACGAAACGTGCGAGCGATGCGCCGAAATGGTGCAGACCAGGCATGCGTACGTAGCCACTGGGACCTTAGGTGAAAGTCCTTATGAGGCCACGAAACGTGTGAGGGTTGGGCCGATATGGTGTGGACCAGGCATGCGGACGCAGACTTTTGGGCTTTAGGTGGGGTTCCCTATCGGGCCACGAAGCATGTGAGGGGTGCGCTGGCACGGACATGCGGAGGGCAGAGGCAGGAACGGGAGGAAGAAGGAGGGGGAGGAGGAAGGAGGAGTGAGACGCGGAGCGCTGTCTCTTCGAGACGGAGACCCAATTCAGCACGGGACGTTTGGGGAAAAGGCATAGCAACTCGCAGAACGCGAGACAGCGGAACACGTGCCCCCGCCTTGGAATTCATTGCCTCTCTGTTCTGAGGCAGTTGTATAGGAGGGGGTACAGAGGACAGACTGTTTACACAGCCTGGAGGAAATAGTGAATTCAGTATGGGTCGGGCTTGAAGTGCCCCGAAGACAGCGCGCGCACCCGAATCGCAAGCATATGGCTATATGCGGACCGAGGACAGTTTGCTTCCCGTCGTCGTCCTCGCCATTGCCCCGCCCCCCTCCTTTCTTCCCCCCTGGATGCTGTCGAAAGCGTCCGCGGCTCGGGCGGGGGAGCGCCCCGTTTCCACCTCCCCCATTATTCCTCGTTCCTCGTTGCCTCCCTACTCCACCGTCCGTCGTCCTACCTCGTCTTCCCTCTTTGTTCGAAGAAGTGAAGTCCGTGGTGCCGTGTGTCCGTATCAGCGGTATACCGCCCTTTCGATATCCGAGCACAGAGGCGCAGCCAGGCAGAGGGGATTGCCAATGCGAGCGTTCGGGGCGCACTCCAATCGCGGGCGGCACGGCCGCCGAACACACTCGCATCGCTAACATGTGAAAGTATAGGTGCCTGCGGCAAGGTCCGCCCCCTTGCCAGCGCAGTGGTGTGTATGGCGACGCGTGGAGTTTTGATTGCTAAGAGGTCCGTGACATGTGACACCTCTCGTGTTCTCGGATTGTTGCGCGGCCTTTTTTAGGGTCCTTCGGGGTTTTGTGGGGACGTCATCGGGCCGTTGGGGGCCGCTTTGGCATCGCATTTCACCGCGGCCAGGGAAGCGCGTATTTACAGCCCCCTCGGGGGCGCCGTGGGCCGGGGAAATGTGTAATTGCATTCCCCCCTAGCTGGGCATGTCGACCTCGGTTCTGGGTTGGAAAAGCCGGGGTGCCCTCGAGGTGGCGAGCGTTTGCTTTTGTGTTTATTCGCGGGTGGTGTTGATTGGGCTGGAACTTTCACGTTTCTCTTTCGGCTGGTCCGAGGGAGGCGTCGTCCGCGATCGAAATACACAGCTCGCGTCTCCAACTGTGCATATGTTGCGCGCCGTTCGCTGGAGTGGTCAATGGGTGGGGGTTTCCAGGGATGCCCAGGCTGGTCCAGGAAGGGGCCGTGGTCTGGGAGTGCAAAAGCGCGGGGGGGTGGGGATGGTAGGCTATGGGGGGGAAAGAGTTCGGTAGGAGGTGCGGCGAACTGGCCGGGGATGAAAGGGACAGGACGAGAGGGGAGGAAATGGGCCCAGGAGGAATTGCATCATCGGTGTCAGCATCGCGAGGACGAGGGAGGCGGGAAAGGGGGCAGAAAGAGGGGGGATGAACTGCACTAAGGCGTAGAGAATGGGAAGGGTGCAGGCGCGCGGACGATGGTGGAACTTATCCGTCGGAAGGGGACGACGAAGAACGATATGAACTAGCATCTGGGGAAGGGGTACAATGTGGATGAGGGACATGATGAGGATTGGGAGTGGGCCGGACGGGCCTGAACAGGGTGGGGCCGAAGCGAAGGGATATTGGGATGATGCGGGGGATGGGGCATGGGGATGAGGCGGGCGCCAGCTAACGCTTAGCTGAACAGCGTTTTGCATATCCGTGCAACCTTCCAAAACAGAGCGGTCGGTTGCAAAACTGCATGATTTGGGTAGCCGTGCGCGGCGTGCTTCCAGGCCAAAAGCTCCAGTCCACGACGGTCCTTGGCGTCGCGTTGGTGCCGCCCCGCTTTGCCAGACCGCATATGCACAGAGGGGCAGAATCTGCGTTTCAACGTTTGTGGCATGCCCTTCTTTAGAGTAACAGACCCACGTTGGAATCCACCCCCCGCCCACCCCCCCATAATTTCTCACGAGGCGTACCTGTGAGGCGAAGTTGCCCCTCCTCCTCCTCCTCCACCTCCTCCTCCTCCTCCTCCTCCTCCTCCTCCTCCTCCTCCTCTTCCTCCTCCCTCTCCTCCCCCTCCTCCCCTCTCGTTTCCTCCCTCGGCGTGCCGCCGATCCTGCTTTTTCCTTTTAGGCCACCCCGCTGGCCGGGGCCCCCGAGAGACGGCACCGCGTGCGCTCGGGTTTGGCGGGCGCGTTGTACCCGTGAGGCGGCCTCTCAAGTTCGACCAGGCGGAAGAAGCTGCCTGGAGCACGACCTCGTTCCGGGACGCCCTGCTCGCCCCCACTTGAGGGGCGGCGGCCCCCTTTGGGCGTCTCGTCTCGGCGTCCCCCCACCCCTTTTGCAGGGCTCATTACGATGCCGCCGATTCGATCCGATTCGATTTCGATGGCGTCCGATTCCGATTCGATTCGACATCGGATTCCGATGTGGGCTCCGATTTCTTATAAAGGCATACGAGCCTGCCGATGTCCGCCGGTTCGACTTCTCCCGACTTGGTTGCCAATTTCCGCTCATCCGATCCACTTCGATCGCCGATCCGACTTATCGATTCGATTGTGGGCTCTCTTGCCAACCTCCCTCAGATCAAGACGCAACTCCTGGGAGGTTCCATTCAGAATCGGCGTTGGTATGTTCCTGGTCGAAATCCAGCCTACTCTGGGTGAGTCTCACTTCTTCCCGCGTCGTCTGCGATAAATCCGATTCGATCCTGCTCCATGTGGCTATATTTTGGAGCTCAATCCGGTCCGATCCGGCTCAGTGGCTCCTTCATCTGGCGAAACCGCCCTTAGTCCTGAGTCGTTCTGACGAGGACATACCAGAAGTTTGCGAGCAATGTCTCTATCCACATCCAGTGCGTCTTGGAGTTCCGGAATCTCTTCCCCAGAAACATGAGGCGCACTGGATATGGATCAAAATCTTGCCCCACAAGGCTCGATCTTTATCCATGTCCAGTGCGCCTCGGCCTTGCGGCGCCCCTTCCAAGAAAGTCCAAGACGCACTGCATATGGTTATAAGTACTTCCCGCAAAGTTGCCTCCTACTGGACCGGTTTTTCATTCTGGGTCGTTTTTTTATGCTTTCACGACGCGAGGAGGTCTGGGGAGGACATCCCAGAAGTTGCCTCCTATCGGGCGAAGCGAGATGTGCACATGCACGATCCTGGCCAGGCCCGTCCTGGGCCCCCAGGGGCAGTGCGCGCGCCTCTCTGGCCCAGCAGGGAGGGCACCTACGCACAGCCTGGGCCCAGGACGGGCCAGGCCAGCGGCGCATGCAGGGCGTTCCAAAAAGGGCTTCGCCTTCGCGAATCGAATTCTATTCGCGAATTCTATTCTATTCTATTCGCGGAAGAGATGACAACTCCTTCTACAGAAGGAGTTGTCATCTCTTCCGCGGCGGCGGAAGGGCGGCGGAAGTAAACGAGGCCGCCCTCCGCCGGCGGAAGGGCGGCGGAAGTGAAACATGTGCCCCCAAGAGATGGAAACGTTTCTGGGTTCAGGGTTTCCGAGATGGCACAAATGTGCATACAGTCGGGCCGCTGAAGAAGGAGCCCTTTTCGTTGGGGAGGGGCTCAGTGTTCCTTCATTCCCCAATCAGTGCTTGCACTGAAGGGGTCCTCTCGGATGTTGAGGGATTTGGCGAAAATTCCGTGCCGATTTCGGTGTGCGGCCGGGTTCTCGGGTTCCCGGTTCCGGGTTCGGGTCAATTTCGGTGGGCGGTGGTGTTCCCGGGTTCCCGGGTTCTTGGTCGATTTTCTGATCGATCGGTCTCACCATCGATTTCATTACCCATCGCATTATCGATCCCATAATCGATATCACAATCGATCTCATCATCGATCTTACAATCGATCTCACTATAGATCGCACGAGCGATCTCACGATCGATCTCATCATTGATCTCATGGAATCGACTTCACTATCGGTCTCACGATCGACCTTGCAATCGTCCTCACTATCGATTCCACGATCGATCTCACAATCGATCTCAATAGCCATGTCACTAATTTTCAGCCCATCTATTGATTGTTTTTTTCTCTGGTGCAAGATTGGCTTAAAGTTGTTCTTAGGTATTCCTTCGGTTCTCTATTGGAAGTCCAAGTTTCACTCATGGAAAAGAAGGGCCTCGTTCCTGATTTAGGGTTCCTAACTGTACTCGCTTTCCCCCTGTCCTGACCCAGGTTCCTGGGCCAGCTCCTCCTGGCCTCCTGGAGGGCCGCCGCCGCAGCGGGGCTGACGGCCGCCGAGATGGTGCGGCGGGCGGACCGGTACCGCAGCCAGCTGGCCGAGCAGCAGGAGCTGCTGCTCGGCGACCGCGACGCCGTGGCCGCGCGGTTGCACGGCGAGCACTGCGCTCCGCACCTTTGGGGGACGAGAGCGCGTTTTTGTTTCCCCGGGCGATAGCGGGCGTTGCCCGGGGGCGGGGGTCACGTTTCGCGCAGGCGCCGCCTGGGAATGTCTCGGGAATGGGCGACAAGACAACTCGGAGGTCAGCACGAGTCGTGACGCTGCCCGGGGGGGAGGGGGGGGGGGAGGATCGGCCGGGGCCGGCAACGGCCGCCATCGCGAAGCATAAAGAGACATTCTCCTGTCTTCTGGGCCTCCTAAACGGGGTCGGAGCAGATGGGATCGGCGATGCGTCAGCGTTGCGGCTCGATGTGGGGCCCAATGTTCTCCATGCCGACGTCGCCGATGCATCGCCGATGCATCGCCGATATATCTGCGATGCATTGGCGATGCGGCGCGATCCTTTGACACCATTTACTCCGACCCCATCTGGGAGGCCTCTATGTCTGTCCTGCCGCGTCGCCATCCCCAGAGATCTGAGGCTTCGCAAAAGTTGGAGCAGCCAGCTTTTGCCGTTTTCGGTCCCCAGGGCCCCTCTTACGAGGCCCAGGACTGTCAAAGAGCGACTCGGGACGAAAAAACTAGGCCTAGGGAAGTCGTCCAGACCCTGGGGGCACACACACACACACACACATCGAAAAAACTCGAACGCTGGTTGCCTGGGTTCGTGTCGAATCCGCATCGAGTCCGCTTCGAATATACGCCGAAGCCGCGCCGAATCCACGCCGGATCTACGTCGAATGTGCGCCGAAACCGCGTGCAGAAATCACGACGACTCTTGACTGGGGGGGGGGCCGGTAGCACCTCAAGCAGTGACGAAGCGCCCTGGCGTGCTTATAGTCCTACCAAACCATGTTCTAAGAACCTTTTGTGGTTTCCACGACATGTTCTTAGAACATTTCTGGCCGAGACTGTCTTGATTTATCACGTCGGGCTTATGTTCTAAGAACACTGTTTTTGTTTTGAGAATATTAAGAACATATCGTGGTAGGCCTATAGAGTGCCGGGACGGTCGGTCCCTGCTCAAACAATTCAAGGGGCCTTCGCGTGTCCTCGCAATCCCACCTGTAGAGTGCATTCGCGTGCGCTGGCTTCTGGTACTCGATGAAAGAGTGCAAATTCAATTTAGCGTCGATTAGAGTCGGTTTCGCATTGATTAGCGTCGGCTAGCGTCGATTTTCACAAGAGCCAGCAGGATGACATGGGAGGCCCCCATGAGTTGCCACAGAAGGGGGGTCTCTCTGTCCTGTCCTGTGAGTCGTCGTGCTTTCTGCAACCCGACGCGACTTCGGCGTAGGTTTGACGTGGATCCAGTGTGCATTCGGCGCCGAAGAGTCGACGATAGGTTCGACGCGGCTTTGACGACGCGGCAGGGCGGACGAAGCGCCCCTAAGATGCGGTGTGAGGCGAGCTGGAGCTGGTTGGGCTCGAGGCCCACGTCCACCGCATACTCGTGCAGTGGCACCGCGTGTCTAGCGAGATGAGGTTCCTGCGAGGCCAGCGGCAGGATCTGGCACAGCAGAGGCAGCAGTACGAGGCAGCGGTGAGGAGGCAGCAGCTCGACGAGCGCGACCGGCGCCACGGCTTCACGAGTCGCAGCGCCGCCTTGCTGGCGATCAGGTCCCGCGGTATACTGCTCATGGGCTGTTTCCGTGCTTGGAGGGAGGGCCAGCTACGCGAGCGCCATACCCTTGCAGTGGAGGCGCATCGAGCTGAAGTGTTCCGCTTGAAGGATGTAGCACACAAGGAGGCGCAGAAGGCCGAGAGTCGCCAGGAGAACGCGCTGCTCAACATCGCTCAGCACTGCAACCATGTGCGTGCAGCGAGCGCGGAGGAGCTCATGATGGTGCTCTGCTTTGGAGAGTGGCGCAGGGCGAACATGGTGCTCAAGCGTGTCCAGCGACGGCAGGCGGCCGAGGCAAGGCAGGAAGCCATCGGCCGAGTCGGCGAGGTGCTGGATGTGGTGACGAGCAGTCTCGCACAGAAGCGCGATTCCCTGGAGCTCTCATTCTTCATGGGGCAATGGTGGCTGATGGTCTGTGACGCGAAAAACCAGCGTACTCTGCAGCAGGTCAGGGACGAGAACGAGCAGCGGATCAAGCAGAACCGGGCCGAGCACATGGAAACATTGGCTGTCTGGTTAGTGCGAGAGCAGACCCACGGCGTGGGCGCCAGGTGGTTCGCCGCGTGGCGGGGGGCGGCGACGGGCGAACGCTTGGAACGCGAGCACGAGGAGTGGCGCAACGGGGAGGCCCTCGAGGGCGAGAAAAACATCGCGATGCTGAGCGGTGCTCTGGAGGATTCCCAGGACCGGCTCTTCCTGGTCATGGCCAGGGTGCTCGGGCGGGTGGTCATGATGGATGGCCTAAGTCGGGGGTGAAGAACAGGGCCCCAAAGGCTGATGGCCCCTTTTGGAGCCAGCAGGGGCCCTGAATGGGGCCCCTTGAGGGCCCCTTCTCTTCGCCCCCCAATGAGTCGGGAGGGCAATGATCGGGTTGGGCGGATGGGGTTGGGAGAAATGTGGATATCATTACCCGTAGGCTGCCGAAGGTATCGCTCATTGCATCCGGATGCTATTGCTCATGCCCCTCATCCTCCCAACCCCTTCTTCCCAACACGAAAATTGTTCTGCTCAATGAGGTCACCCCCCACTGCCACCCGCCCAAGGTGCACGACCGCGTGAGGGCGCAGCGGTGCTTCTCTGCCCTCCACACGGCCGTGCTGCTCGCGAGGGCGGAGGCTTCCGGCAGAGAGAGGATCGCCGCCAAGGAGGACGGCCACGCTGGAACGTTGGCGGAGCGGGCGAAAGCGAAGAGGCAGCACGCCCACAGGGTGGGCGCCTTCATGGCCAGCAGCATGACGAGGGTGCAAAGGCTCAGAGGGGGAAAGGGTACCGCTACCGCTACCCTCGGCTCGTTTTCGCCTTTTGAGGTCTCATGGGAGGCCTTCGTCGCCACTGCTGGATTCGCTTCGAAATTCTAGTCAGGACGCACCCTGCCCGGGAGAGGTCTGGGGGACAGCGGTATCGGTACGTTCTAGCTTCCCCAGAGGCGTCAGCAGCTGACGCTCGTAGCCGCCGCCTGGCTGGCAGCTGCCAGGCAGGACCGCGAGGTGAGGCAGAAGGAGCAGTTCTCGAAGCTGCACATCGTGGAGAAGACGCGCGCAGAGGAGAACGTCCTCAGGCTCAGCGCGTGCGTCGATCGCTTCACGGACTGGCTCTGCCAGGTGGTGGTCGTGGCTTGGGCGGTGCGATGCCTGTGGGCGTGGCGTGCCAGTAGCCACGCCTCGCTGGTGGACAGGAGGCTCGAGGAGGTGCGCGTCGAGGCGGACGGACGTGCCGTCGCCTTGAGGCGCATGCAGGAGGAGGGCAAAGAAGCTGCCATCTGGCGTGCAGGTGAAGTGCTGCACAAAGTCGACACGCATGCGCTACTCAGGGTGGCCCTGTCTGCATGGAGGCGGGTCCGCCAGATCGTCCAAGAACGCAGGAGGATGGACAAGTTGAAGCAGGAGCTGGAGCAGGAGTTGCAGCGGCAGCGCAGGCAGTTCAACGGCGCCCTCCACAATGTGAGGAGCAAGTGGGAGGCTGGCCTCATGAACCTCGCAGCCGAGGTATCGAAGAGCAGCTTGCTCCGCTGCATGGTGGGCTGGGCACAGCAGGTGCGCGTCTCGCGCACCGCCACGGAGGCGCGACGGTCGGTGGTGGACGTGCAGGAGCTGCTGCGCGACAGTGAGCAGAAACTCTTCCGCGCGGAGGCGAAGGCCAAGAAAAGCGAACTGTTGGTGCCGACCTCCTCAGCGGCGCTGCCTGACTTCAGCTCCAGGGCCGATGCTCCAGGCCTTGCAAGCCAACTGGGCACGAAGCCACTGCCACTCCAGTGGGAGGCGTTCGCACCTGGCTCTGTGCCCGATGCCGCCGCAGCCGCGGCCCCAGCTACTGGTGCTGTCGCAGCCGCTCAGCTACGGTGTGAAGGCGAGCCGGCGAGCCAGGGCTCCTCCGTCGGGGCCACGCTGGACACGGGGGGGCCAACAGATGCCGATAACGCTGCTGCCCGGACCTCGCCCTGTATCGGACGGGTGGTAATGAGGGGTGACCTAAATTGGGGTGAAGGACAGGGCCCTCAAGATGCCTCTTTTGGGGTCCCTCTTAGTGCCAGCAGGGGCCCACACGGGGCCCTCAAGAGCTCCTTCAGGGCCTCTTTTTTCATACACTCCCATTTACTCTTTATTCGGATGCAACTCCTGGGAAGTGATGCCCTGGTCCGAAATCCCGTTCCATCTGACTCAATCCTGTTAAATCGGGTCTAATCCAGCTCAATCCGCGGCCTTGCCCCAAAGGAGCTGAATCCTGCTCAGTCCTTCCGACGAAGGCCTCCCAGTGGTTGTCTCCGAACTATTTAGGTCACCCTCCATTGCCCCCCGCACGACTGGGGGCTCGTTCTGGCCAGGATCGCGAGGCGAATCCGGCCGTGGTGGAGATGGGGGCGGCCTGTCCCTTGAACCCAGGGGGGAAGATCACACAGACACGAATAATCCACCTTTCTAGAGAAAGTACTGAAAGTATGACAAGCGGAAGGGGAAGACGAACATCCAGAAAGTGTTGCAATGATTCGGCGTGCTGGGCCTTGTGTGTACATATTTCTTTGCGTGTGCCCCTGGGCCCCTCCACCTGAGGACTACCTGGCCCGCGCCCGCAGGCTGGTCGAGTCCGCGGGGCTGCCCGGCCAGCCGCCGCCTCCGCCGGAGCCCTCGGACGTGCAGGGCGCGGCGGCGCCCAGCGGCTCCGAGGCTCGGTTGCGCGCAAGAGTGACCCTTCGCCGGAGTGACCTTTTTTGCGCAGGCACACAGAGGTTCGGGCGTGTGGTAATTCGGAAATGGACAGACCTCCTATCGTGACACGTCGATTAGCGGGTTGGCCGTTTTCGGTTCGCGAGAGGGCGTCGCGGCCGTCATCTTTGCGGTTCCAGGTCCGTCGGTTTCGGTCCCAGGCCGTTTACATTCAGGGGAGGTTTGCTAAAGGGATGTTTGTCCATCGCCGAGTACTGGCGGGGGGGCCTAATTCGGGGGTGAAGAGAATGTCCCTGAAGGGCCCTTGAGGGCCCCTGCTGGCTCCGGAAGGGGCCCGAAAGAGCCCCTTGAGGGCCCTCCTCCTCTTCACCCCTCCTTTGTGCCACCCCCCAGTACCGCCCGCGCGAGGGGTCCCCCCAGCACTGGCTGGCGCGCCTGGATTTGGCTGAAGTTGGGCGTGCCCCTCCACAGGAGGAATATTCCAAAACAAGTGGCACGCGTGCCATGGCTCTTACACAGAAGGGAGGGGGAAGGAGGAGGAGGTGAAGGAGGAGGACGGGAGATGGATAGAAAGTGCGAGAAATCGGAGAATGAGAGCCCAACGAGGGCCGCAAGATGGGCTTGACAGGGCGATCTCGAGTAGGCTCCACGGGACCCCCTCCCCGCGAGATGGCCTCCAAGACTTTCAACATGCTCCCAGGAGGCCTCCCACAAACACCCAAAAAGTCTGCAGAGGATCCGCAGAACTCCCCAGAGGCCCGAAACGGAGGCGGAGGGGGTTCCACTGGGCCGCTGGGGAACGCTGGGGAATGGGGGATGGGGGGCGGGGATGGGGCGCGCCGTGCGACGCGAAATAAAATGGTCGGGGCGGAGAAGAGCAGCACTGGGCGGAAGTTCCATTAGGCTGCTGGGGAACGCTGACAAGAGAAGGGATGGGGGGCGGGGAGGAGGGGCGCGGTGCGACGCGGAATACAATTATCGGTGCGGAGGAGGCATTGGGCGGTGGTTCCACAGGGCCGCTGGGGAACGCTGGGGCGGGGAGAGGGTGGCGGGGGAAGGGGGTGGAGGGGTGGGGGCATTGGGCGGAGGTTCCACTGGGCCGCTGAACGCTGGGGTGGGGGGCGTGGGAAGGGAGGGGCGGGGAATGAAGGGAAAGGTGCGGCGGAACGCTGAGAAGGGGTGGGACAGCGGGGGGGGCGGCGGGGAGGGGGAGGGCGCTGTGTAACGCGGAATGAAATGGTCGGGGCGGTGGGGGCGTTGGGCGGGAGTTCCATTGGGCCGTTGGGGGACGCTGGGGAGGGGCAGGAGGGATGCGGTGAGGGGGGGGGAGAGGTGCGACGCGGAATTAAATTGTCGGGGCGGAGGGGGCGCTGGGCGAAGGTTTCACTGGGCCGCTGGAGAGCGCTGGGAAGGGGTAGGGGGGCGGGGACGAGGAGGTGCGCTATGCGACGCGGAATAAAATTGTCGGGGCGGGTGGGGCATTGGGGGGGGTTCCATTGGGCCGTTGGGATACGCTGGGAGTGGGTAGGGGAAACGCGGGGAGGTGGGGGTGCCGTGCGACGCGGAATAAAACAGTCGGAGCTCTGGACACCCTGTGCACGAGAATAGGCGTTCGTGGCGGAGGGGGCAATGGGCGGGGCTCCCACGGGGGCGCTGGGGACGCGGGGGGGGTCGCTGGCATTAGGACCGCGGAGCGGGGGTCCAACTGTGGTGTTGGGACGCGGGGGGAGGGGCGGGGGGAGGTGTGTGCGCGACGCTGAATACATCGTTCGTGGCGGAGGGGGCAATGGGTGGGGCTCCCACTGGAGCGCTGGGTGCGGGGGGGCTCGGGGCAGACGACCGCGGAGCGGTGGTCCCACTGTGGCGCTGGGGACGCGGGGGGAGGGGCGGGGAGAGGTGGGTGCGCGACGCGGAATAAAGCGTTCGTGGCGGCGGGGGCAATGGGCGGGGGGCTCCACTGGGCGCTGGGGAGCCGCGGGGGGGGGGTGGGGCAGGGGCGCGGATGAGCGGATGAGCCCGTTCGCGGCGGAGTGGGGCGGACGGGCGGTGCTCCCACTGGCGCTGGGGACGCGGTGGGTGGCTCGGGGGCAGAGGGCCCGCGGAGCGGTCGGTCCCCCTGATGAGGCGCTGGGAGCAGCGGGGGGAGGGGCGGGGGGCAGGAGGTTTGTGCGTTGACGGGAATAAAGCGCTCGTGGGGGAGGGTGGCAATGTTGCGGGGCTCCCAATGAGGGCACTGGGGACGGCGGGGGGGGGGGGGGGGGGCGAGGGCCACGGAGCGGGTGGGTCCCACTGTGGCGGTGGGGACGTGGGGGGAGGGGCGGGGGGAGGTGGGTGTGCGACGCGGAATAAAGCGTTCGTGGCGGCGGGGGCAATGGGCGGGGCTCCCACTTGGGGCGCTGGGGACGCGGGGGGGCTCGGGGCAGAGGGCCGCGGAGCGGGGGTCCCACTGTGGCGTTGGGAACGCGGGGGGGGGCGGGGGGAGGTGGATGTGCGACGCGGAATGGAGTGGTCGGAGCTCTAGACACACCTGATTAAGAGAATAAAACATAGTCTGGGGACGATGTGTTTTGATTGTGTTTGGCCATGTTTGTGTATTGTTTGACCCTCTTCCCATTTTTCTTCCCAAATCCGCCTGTAGAGGGACGTGCCCGACGTAAGACGTGGCCTGCCCGCAGCCATCGTGCGCCGCGCACCAGAGGCCACTCCTGGCCGGGGCCTCTCCCCGCGTGTTCGCGGGCAGGGCGCGGCGGCGCCGAGCGGCGCCGAGGCGCGGGGCACCATCGCGGAGCAGGCGCGCCTGCAGGCGCAGCTGCACCAGCTGCAGCAAACCATGGCGGGCATCGATCGGCGCGGCGCGGGGACGGCGGCCGGGCAGTAGCCTCGGCCTCCGTGGCGGGGGGGGCCGCGCCCGCGAGCTCGCCGCCAGGCCGCGGTGGCGGCGGTGGGGGGGGGAGGGAGCGAAAGAGGAGGGCGCGGAAGAACTGGCAGGGGGGGAGTGGAGGAAGTGGGGGAGAAGGAATGGAAGGAGGAAGGGGGGGGGGGCGGAAGGCGGACGAAGAGGAGGAGGAGGAGGAGGAGGAGGAGGAGGAGGAGGAGGAGAAGGAGAAGGAGGCAGAGGAGGAGGAGGCAGAAGAGGAGGAGGAAAGGATGAGGGAAGGAAGGAAGGAAGGAAGGAAGAAAGGAAGTAAGGAAGGAGGAGGAGGAGGAGGACGACGACGACGAAGTGGAGGAGGGGGAGGGGGAAGGCGGAGGATAAGGAAGAGGGGAGGAGGAGGGAACGGAGGAGGAGGAGGAGGAGGGAAAAGTGGAGACGCAAGGGAAGCTAGGGAGGAGGAGGCCTCGAACGGGCTCTTCCTAAGAAGGCGTGAGCCGTCGGGCCGCGCAGAGGTAGGTGGCGAGCAGCCCTCGGCCCTCTGAGAGGGCCGCAAGGTACGGACATGACAACAGCGGCTGGGTCAGCAATCATGCATCCGCCTCCGCCCCCCTCCAGTCGTCGTTGTCGTTATCCTCATCCGCCTTCTCCCCTCCTGGTTTTCATCATGCTCCTCCCCCTCCCTCCGTAGCAGTTTCGGCCCAATGTTATGAAGTTCGCAGCGAACAAAGTGGATACCCCTGCAGCTTACAGCATCTTGTCCGCCCCAGGTGCTGCTGCCGCTCGCGCCCGCGGGTGAGTAGCCCATTCGTTCCTCGATCACGTTCCGGTCTGAGCGCACACCGCTATCAGCGTGGCACCTCTTCCTGTTGCTCGCGGCGACGTGGCAGAGAGTTAGAATTGGGTCCGCACACCTCGGGCCAAGAATTCGCCAAAGGGCCCAGTGTGGAAGTGCTCAAGATGCGGGCGCGCGAAGAACCCAGCTACGTTCTGCTGGTGCAAGTCGGAGACTGGAAGTCTACAGGGCCTGCTGGCCAAAGGCTCTCGTGAGCTTCAGCCAGGATCCCTGTGGGCCAAGGTCTCCCACGCGAAAAGCCAGCTTTGGACGTTTCCAGCCTCGAGGAGCTGGGGATTGTGGCTACTACCGCGGGAGCGTGTGGCCAGAGCGATGCTGCGCAGGCCTGCCAGTCTCGGGACAAGCGGCTCCGAAAAACTCCACCGCAACCGCCATTGCTGGAGAGTCAGATGGCTGCCGCAAGGAGGTATCTGGATGACCAAGATGGCAGAAGTCACGAAACAATGGGCCAGCATCACAAGCGGCAGAAGGACCTTGAGCAGCACTGGGACTGGCAGAACGGCCAAGCAGAAACTGGACAATCCCCAGGACAGCTACGACAATCTCGCACTCTCGGTCGCACCCTCCGCCACCAGCCCGAAGTCCGAGCCTCCGCCCAGCCTAACATGTCCTTCGCCGCTTTCCTGGGCGGGAACCTGGACGGATGTTTCATCGATTTCGGCAGTGTATTGGGGGACGCGGGGTGGATTTTGAAACGGAGGAGTCCAGACAAGCAGGGGGGAAACGCAAACAATTCGTTGCTGGGCTCCAAGAAGGGGCCAAACCCTTCTTCGCTGATGCGGCCGCAAATGCTACCAAGGCGCCAGAGGAACATCACAAACAGAAAGTAAGGCTTGCAGGAAAATAGAGGCGTGCCTGGGGCTGAGCCGCCATCCAAGTAGACGGACAAGTTGCGGCTGAAGGCGCAAAGCCGGATGCCCCAGCCACCCCAGTCATTCGGGCGGGCGGCAATAGGGGGTGACCTGCACGGGGGGGGAATATCCTACGAGGGGCCGACCCTTTTCTACACCCCCATTTAGGCGACCCCGCATTACCACCCACCCCGTCCAGGCACGTCATCAGCAACAAGCGCCACCCCAGCAGAACATGTCTACAGCTAGGGTAGCATTCGAGAAGGAGCGCGCTCGTGCTGCACAGGCAGGCGCGGCGTCCTCCGGGGGCAGGCCGGCGCGCAGGACCACGCGGTGCCCCAACGGCCCGAAAAGGCAGCCCGCCAGGGGGGAGGGGGGCAGAAACGACAACGCGGAACAGACAGATCTCAGTTTTTTTTTCAAATACAATCAAAGCTGACAGTAGGGATACGCGATGGCGCAAGCCTGTTGGACGCCCATGTCGATGCGTTTCGAGCGGGGCTGGCTATCGAAACTGATCGATGATGGATCTAAGAGGCAAGGACGCAAGCGTACCCATGGGAGGGGTACTTATCCTTGCCAGATTCTTCGATTGCATAACCTCATTGGAAATTGGAATATTCAACGACGTGCAGGACGTCGCGCGACGCGCAGGCGCGGTGGGGTTCGCTGAGACCCACTCCGTAGATCCAGGCGACATTGCCAACGCGATGGATCAACATGGTTGGAAAGCCACTCTGTGCTCGCCAAGGGCAAGAGGGGGAGTTAAAGGATCCGGCGGTGTTGCCGCGGGGGCTAGCAGGCACATCCGGCACCACTATTTCAATGATTTGGGGGAGCAGCCATATCAGCAGATGGGATTGCGTAGCTTGGACGGCAAACTCAATCGGGGATGACCATTTGACTCCTGGGACTTGGCCCCCGACGGCATCGAGCTCACAGAAGGAGTCGCTGCCATATGTTCAGATTCTAACACGCGCCAGGGACCAAATTTACGAGCATGAATGTTGAGAAGCTGATTTTTCGAAGGGCTTCCCAGCGCCTCACCCACATGCTTCCGCTCATCGCAACAGATTGGCACGCCCCCCCCGCGGCACCTTGAGGATTCAACGCGGCCGAGTCTTTTTGGAGGTTCAATTCGCGCCGTGTCGAACCTGTCAACCGGCGCGTCATGTCTTCCTGGTTTCAGATTCGCCCGGGGCTTTCAATTTCGACCGCAACTCAGGCGACGCGTGACGCGAGTCGTGATCGACAAGTCAGTCAGGTCCAGATCAAGATTGACACCAGACGCTCCGCGGCGCAAGCGACCCATCGGCTAAGAAGGCCCCTCCACCCACCCAAGCTAAAGAAGGAGCCACACCCAGCCAGCAAGAGGTCCAGGAATAAAGCCGTTCGCCACGCTGCGAAATCCTGGGCCGGGCGGCCCGGTGCCCCAGACACCTCTGACGACGAAGCCCCGCCCTAAGCCGTCTCGGGAGCAGGGGCGAGTCTGCCGCCGGGGGCTGCAGGGGAGGTCCGCAGCACCGCGCATATAGAACCAGTTAGAGGAAGCTCGACCACGCCATCGAGGTCGGTGACCCCGCCTACCCGATCATCCCATGTTGCCCCTGCTCCAACGCCCGCGTCCCGCCCCGAGCACGCCGGGTCGCCGCGCGAGGCCCCGCCCGCGGCGACCCTCGGCGACGGCAGGCGAATGCGGGCTGCATCTGCGTCGCCGACGACGCGGCTGGCAGCTTCGTTGGCGCCGTCTACCAGGTCATCCGTCATTGGCCCTGCGCCCGCGCCTGCGCCGTGCCCCGAGGAGCCCGGGACGCCGCGCGGGGCCTTGCCCGCGGAGCGCCGCGGGAGGGGGCGCCGCCGCTGCGACGGAGGGGGGCGCGCGCTGCCGCGTCCTCGCCGGCTTCGGCGTCGCCGTCGATTGGGTCGGCCTCGGAGACGCGCCCAGGTGGCTCGGGGAAATCTCGGCGTCAGCCGAGCCAGGGGTGCCGGCGCCCAGACCGGGCCGCGTCGAATCTACACAACTAATCACCGCGTGGTCGAGGTAGGTTTGCGGGGGCAAAATCGGGCCCACGCGAATATATCGGCCGAGACAGGCGCCCGCGCCGAGCCAACGTTGGACGCGGCGCCATGGGCGACGCAGATCGCGACCACGACGGGCCCGACGGAGGCATGGCTGAGCCGCCCCCCCCGCCGCCCCACCCCCCGACGCCCGCCCCGCCGCCCCGTCGCCACCTGTCATGGGCGAGTAAGACCCAGCGGTGGAGCGCCGGCAGCGGGGCGCGGGGAGGGCGGGGGGGGGCGCTGGCAGGCCGAGGAAACCGAGCCATGGAATTTTCTTGCCCCGAGGGGTGAACCTAGAGGCCGGCCCGCGAGCGTGTCCAGGACTCCCCGGGGCGCCCAGCACCCCACCCAATCCGCTATTTTCCGGGATAAGAGCTGCGTCGGCCGCCGGGGGCCGTTGCGCCCTGAAGCACGAGCTGCCGCCCCAGCGGCGCGCCGCCCTCCAGGGGGGGGGGGCTCGCGCAGCCAGCCCGGCGGCAAAGAAGACGACTGGGAAGGGCCGGCCATCCACGCTGTCAGACGTCGCCGCAAGGTGGCGGTCGGAGGTCGCCGTTTAAGCGTCGACGGGGCTGGCCTCGGCCAACCTGGTCAGCGGGGGGAGGCAGCCCGCCCCGCAGAGCTTCGAAGCCAGAGGAAAGCCCAGGTCCATGGCGCGTTCGGCCCCCGATGGCCCGACGTCAGCCCTGGCCCCCGAGGCCTTCGCATCCTGGGAAATTTGGCTTCGGGGCCCCGATCGATTCAAGCCGATCGAATGGAAAACTCTAGCTGGGACCCTTCAATTGAATGCGATCCGTTCTAAGAAGGCAGCTGCCGGCGTTTCGCGCGCCACGTCCAGGACTTGGGCGGCGGGGCATTTCGCCAACGAGGCAGTTAATTTGCACGGGCACCCGAAGCTACGTCAGAAGCTGGAGACCGAGATTCTGGTCAATGCGAGGGCGTCTCCGGGCCCCCAGGGGGAACTGTTGATCGCCGCGTGGCTCGATGGCTCAGTCGGGCACCCGCCCCCGGCGCAGACCTCGCGCGGACGAGGGCCAGCGCCGCCAGAGGCCGCCAGCTTGTACGGGGAGAAATCTCCGCCAGGATTCGCCCTGGAGAATGTCGAGGCGGGACTTCGGCAGACCCCTGTCCAGACGGAGCGGGGGATCGAGAGTCCATGGCCCAGGAAGGGGCTTCGGCCCCAAGGGCCAGAACGAGATACTTGAGTTGCGTAAGCGGGTAGAGAGTGCATTGGCATGGCC